CACACCCACACCCCACACCCACACCCTCACCCACACCCACACCCCACACCCACCCACACCCACACCCTTTTTTCATCCTAATTTAGTTATGTATAACTGTATGCTGTATTTTTACAAATTCTCTTGACGTAAAATAAATGCACATGCTCATGGTTTTTAAAAATGCAAGAAAGTCACACATATGAAACTTGGAATCAAAAAAACTGCACATCTCGTCAATTTTTTTTATTTGTTCTTTGTTGATGTTTTTTATTTTCAATCTTTTTAATTTCTATTGTCACACTTTTATGGGGCCCTTGAGCAAGAACAAACAAAAGAAGGAAAATAATGCATAAAAATTTTTAAAAAAAGAAAGAAAGAAAATGTTTCATCCAATTTCACGAGTTTTGTTTCTGTGAGAGCTGCATATTGAGATCTAGCACGAGCGAACAACAGATTGCCATGTCGCTGTTCACTAATTTATTGATACCTCCAGATAATGAAACGGCCAGACAAAATTTACCTGAACATCCTCGTATCGTCCAGAATTTTTTTCTCATTTGGCTCAAAGCTACTAATGACCGATCTACAGATGAATTTCATAATTCTATTAATGAACTGCGACGCATTATCAATACCGTGGTTATATTTAATGATACTGATGAATGCATTGATTTTCTCACTGAACTCAAATACGAAAAGGCTTTTATAATGTTGTCCGATGATATTGGACAACAAATAGTGCCTATAATTCATGATATATCTCAACTCACTTCGATTTATATTATATGCAAAGTTAACTTAATACATGAAAATTGGACGCAAGATTGGTCAAAAGTAAAGGGCATTTTCACGGAATCTGAGTCGATTTGTGACTCACTTGGGCAAGTTACACGACAATGTGATCAAGATTCTATTTCGATAAGTGTTGTTCCACCTATCGACACATCAAGTCAACTACTGAACGAATTAGACCAATCATTTATGTATACACAATTATTGAAAGAAATCCTTTTCAAAATTCAATATAATAAACAGTTCATCAAAGAATTTATTGATTATTGTCGTAACAGTCATTTTTGCAGCCAGAATAGTATTGATGAGTTTGAACGAGAATACTATAAGCATTCGCCTATTTGGTGGTATACTTATGCCTCTTTCATATATACCATGCTAAATCGTGCTTTACGTACTGTTGAAATTGATCTAATTATCAAAATGGCTTTTTTCGTTGATAGTCTTCATCGAAATATTGAACAACTTCATTTGGAACAATCGAACCATCACGAATTACAATCATTTATTGTTTATCGAGGACAAGGCATTGCAAACAACGAATTTGAGAACATGAAGAAAAGTCAAGGTAGTCTTCTCTCTTTTAACAACTTTTTATCGACCAGTACTGATCGACAAGTTTCGTTTCTCTTTGCTGATGCTGCACGATATAATCCTGATTTAACAGGAATTCTCTTTCAAATGATTATTGATCGATCGATTTCACCGGCTCCTTTTGCTCGAATAGACGATGTCAGCTACTATCAAAATTCAGAACATGAAATTCTATTTTCCATGCACACTGTCTTTCGTATTGATGAAATAAAACCTATCGAAGAAGATAATCGACTGTGGCAAGTCAAACTACATTTGACAAGTGATAGTGACCCACAACTCAAAACTCTTACTGAACAAATACGAAAAGAAACGTTTGAAGAATTACCAGGGTGGTATCGACTAAGTCAATTGCTAATTAAATTGGGTGAGTTTGACAAAGCGAAACGAGTATGCCATATGATCTACGATTCAACATCTAATGATATTGAAAAGGCCTTTCTTTCTAATCAGCTCGGTCTGATTAAAAGTAATCAGGGTGAATATACAGAGGCGTTTTCACTCTTTGAAAAATCACTTGAATTCTTTCAAAATTCTGTGCCACAAATTCATCCTTCGATGGTTACTTTTTATAGCAACATTGCTTTAGTGTATTTAAATAGTGGAAATTATCCACAAGCAGCTGAACTATACGACAGAGCGCTTAAAATAAGTGAAGCATCTTTTTCTTCAAATCATCCTACGTTGGCTGCTTCCTGTAATAACGTTGCTTTGGTATATGATTACATGGGAGAATACTCGAAAGCACTTTCATTTTACAAAAAAACACATGAAATCTACCGAAATTCTCTTTCTCTAAATCATCCTTCATTGGCTATTTCTTTCACTAATATTGGTTCGTTATATGATAAAATGGAAGAATACTTAAAAGCACTTTCATTCTATGAAAGAGCACTTGCAATCTACCAGAAATCTCTTCCTGCACATCATCCTTTGCTAGTTACTACTTATAGTAAAACAGGTTTAGTGTATATGCATATGGAAGAGTACTCAAAAGCACTTTCATTCTATGAAAAAGCACTTGAAATCTGCAAACAGTCACTCTCTGCAAATCATCCCTCATTGGCTACTGTCTATGGCAGCATCGGTTTGGTGTATAGCAAAATGAAACAATATTCAACAGCACTTTCTTATTACCAAAAAACACTACGAATCTACGAAAAATCTCTTCCTACAAAGCATTCCGATATGGCTTCTCTCTATAATAACGTTGGTTCAGTATATGCTAATATAGGAGAATATACAGAATCACTTTCTTTTTACAAAAGAGCACTTGAAATATACCAAAAAACTCTTCCTGACAATCATCCGTTGTTAGCTTCTCCATATGGCAATCTTGCTATCGTCTATGACAATATGGAAGACTATCCACAAGCACTTTCATTCTACAAAAAAGCACTTGAAATCTATAAACGATCACTTCCTCAAACTCATCCTTCTTTGCATATCATCTATCATAATATTGGTGTAATCTATGAAAAAATGGGAGATTATTTAACAGCATTCTCATTTTACAAACATGCTTTAAACATTGCACAACATTCATTGCCTCTGAATCACCCTGATCTTCAAATCATTCGAAATAAAGTTGAATCACCTATGTGCTGAGATTTCAAAGGAAATCAGCGTTATTATCCTAGTACAACTAAATATATCTTAATTGAGGATCAGGCGATGACACATTGTTGTTGTTTTCATTCATCAATCGATATTTTTCTCTGACTTACCGTGGGTGTGTGGGTGGGTGGGTGTGGGTGTGGGTGGATGTGTAGGATGTGGATGTGGATGTGTGCGAATGCGTGGATTCAAATGAAGAGAATAACTACACCCACACTCACACCCATACCCACATCCGCACCCACACCCACACCCACACCCACACTCTCACCCACACCCACCCATACCCACCCACACCCACACCCACACCCACCCACACCCACACTCACACCGACACCCACACCCATAAAGTAATTTTAAAAACAATCGTAGTCTATTTGTGGTCTACGAGAAGCTTTTCTTTCAGACTTGTGTTAACAATCATGTTTATTAATCATTGTTCACTGTTGAACGGTACCAACTACTGCACATTGTACAGAAAAAAATACAGATGCGTATAATTCTTAGGAAGTGAAAATTCATTGTGTAAATATGGTATTTTTCTTTTACTTAACATTAATGGTCTTGTGTTGTTTATCTAAGATGTTTTACTGTTGCTGTGTGTCGTTCTTCAAAAAAAGTATGCAATCGAAAAACATTCAAAATAGAAAAAAACAACAGAAAAGGAGATGACAAGCGATCGAAACACTACCATGACGCAAAGCACAAGAAAAAATTTACCTGGCAAACAACCGAAACGTCTGATTTACACAACACTCAACCAAGTTGGAAGAAATCATCAGTGAAACTGAATCCGTATGGTTGCTTTCCATTGTGTGATTTTGATGAGTATCTCATTAACAGAATTTCTAAAATTAGAGAAAGTATTTCAAACATACTAAACAGAGCTACATAGCATACACATAGGTAGTCAAAATTTTTAAGGAATAACAAAAAGCACCAGTTAGGTCATGTTTTATTTCATTAAATGCTTAAAGTAATTCCTCTAGTTATTTGTCTAGAATCAGATATGTCGAAGTCATTGGTTCTCTTCAGAGACAATTCATTACTTCAATTTAACGACAAAATAAAATAATTGACTTTTTAATCATAACAACCTCTATTTTACTCTATCCAAGAAGAGCATCACGAAATTCTGAAGCCTTCACATCTTGAGTTTCTCCGAATCCCAAATATTCGTCATACTTCTTTAAGATCACAAAAATGCTTCAGAGTTCTCTAGATTCCTACAGAATTATTTTGATAGGGTGTGAATATGACTTTTTCCATCATACAAGTTCACAGTCACAGAAACAACCATACAGATCCATACTCAACACTAACTTCTACAGAAACACAAATGTCCTTACTTACCCACCAACATCAACCTTGTATAACCATCCACACTCACATATTCAAACCATAGACAAAGAAGCTTCTCCTCGAGTGTAAATGTTGGCACCAATATTAACTCTAACGAAGCTATACTCACACCCACACACACAAATCCACAAGCACACCTTCACACCCACACACAGCCAAGTCCACAAGCATACCTTCACACTCACAACCACTCCAGCACCCATGCCCACCCACACCCACATTCATCCACACCCGCAAGTGTCGCTGGGGAACAACTGTCCGAGGAGCAAGTGTTCTAGTGAAGCAACTGTCTGAAGAGCAAGTGTCGCGGGAGCATCTGTCTGGGAAGCCGCAGTCGTATTACCGCTTCACACATATACGAGTTCCTTGATAAATACGAATAAAATGAGACGAATAACAACACTGGAAGATAAGGAATGCATCAGTTAGTGATATCACGAGCAGCAGTTTTATGTCTTAACAAAAAAACTGTGTGTGAGGTTCTCGTTTATGCAGATGTCTTAGACTCTTGTCAGCTCTATGGTTGAGGCTAGAAGACGATTAAATATCAAATCCCCAGTCTGCAACAGGAACGAGAAATCTCACGTAAAAATAAATAAACATTCTTACCGTATCTTGTAATGATAATATAGACAATAAATCAATTAACCGATTAACTCTTTATTAATAACAATGGGGATGATAATTAGGCACGCACCGAACCCGGGTACATACCGGAATTCTCGGGTTCGGCCGTTCCCGGGACTCGGTCATTCTGGGTTTCGTCCGCTGAGAGAACTCTTGAGTCCTAAAGTTCTATTATTGGGAGGTAACGTTGGGTCCTCAACCCCTACTATTCGAAGATACCCATCGACTCTCAAGGCCTACTATTCGGGTGGTACCTCTTGGATTCTGAGATCCTACTATTACGTAGTATCCTCAAGTTCTGAAGTCCTGATATTTGGTAGTACCCTTCAGTATTAAAGTCTTGCTATTTTGGACTACGTTTGGATCATCAAGTTCTACGACTGAGGGCATCTTCGGGTAATTAGGTTCTACTATCCGCACCTACCATTCATTTCTCAAGAGTTACTTTACGTGGTACTCTTCCCTGCTGAACCCTATCGTCGGCCCGAACAATTCCATATCTTGTCCTCACAAATAGAAAGGATAATCCTCCTGAAATCTAGTTGGTACATTTTCCGATTTTCTTTTTCGCAGTGTTGAGAAGGGAAGAGATCTCTACATATACCCATCAATCGACAGAGCATCCTCGATAACACTATAATCGACCCGAATATGGGTATGTGTTGTCTGTACAATAAGAGGGAAAGGTCCCTTTCAAGATTTTTTTGGGCCCTAATACCCTATTTCTGAGTGAAGGACTTGAAGTTGACCCGCACATATACCCATCAATCGATAAAGCACCCTTGATAACCCTATGATCGGCACGAACATGACTATGTGTTGTCCGTACAATAAGAGGGAAAAGGTCCCCTTTAATCTGATCGATCAATTTTTGGGCACCGAATAAGTTGCAAATATTCTACTTGAGGACCGAAGCGTATTCCTTAACAGTAGGACCTGGGGTCAAAGAGTACCCTCGAATACTGGAACTCTAGTGTCCAAATATTAACCCCGAATAGTAGGAGTTTAGGACTCAACAATACTCTCAATGGCTGAAACTCGGGAATAACCGAACCCCAGGAAGTTCGGGCTCGGTGCATGCCTATCTGTATCCACCTTTTATGGATTCCTAAGTATTTTCGACCTTACAGAAGTATCTAGTTTAACTTTCACAATCATACACTATAGCCGATTAACTCATGTAAATGTCTCCTTTAAAACAACTGAACAACTAATAATTAATCATGAATCAACTCTATTCTTTCTACTTTTCAAAACTTCATTTAAATAATATAGTGAGTACAGGAATCGCTCGCCAAAGTTCATTTTCATGGTTTTTAACAAAGCTGAACTCATAAAGATTGATGTTCTATGACCTATTACTTTCTTGTTTTGATTTTCTTCGATTTCAGCTACAACAGCTGACTGAATCTTTATAGGAAAATTCAGATCAGTCCTATGTAACACTTGATAAAATCTTGAGAGAATTCTTTCTCTTATTCCTGCAAGAAATTTTGAACGAGTTCGAAGACGTCTCGTTTTGCTGTGTAAAGATAATTATATCTATTTGGTCCAGGAGATGAAAAACTATAGATTTTGCTTTTTCTCTGAACTTAAATTTTAGGAATTCGGTAATAATTTTTATTAGTTAGAAACAATCTTCTCTATTCAAATCATTAGTAGAATCCTTTTTTCAGTTCGTAAAATTGCATATATAAACAAGCTATATAATCAAAACATTATTATAGCTGATGGAAAGGATGGAGATAAAGATAATATTGATACTCATACTAATAAACCCCTTTGCTTTATTTTTCTTCAAAGAAATACCATAAATACATTTCTCTACAAGATGTTTATTTTTATTGATTATTTTATCAAGATCTCTTAACAAGTGATCAAAGTATATGCGATTAATAAAGTGAAATTATTCTTGATTTAGAGACAATATACTTTTGATAGCTTATACTCAATAAGAAATTTCGTTAGTCTAATAATCTTCAGTGTTTATATTATAATTTTTCATTTTAGAATAAATAAATACAATGAATAATAATCGAACTGCTCACATTTCTTCGAATTCGACTCAACAACCATCGGAAAACATAACATATTCAACTATATCCGGTATCTTTTTTAATTGAATGATATTGCTGTTTTATCTCCATGCTTTTACAGATATCTTTGTTTCGTATTGTCGGATAGCGTTTTTCTATTTCTATCTGAAAATTTTGAATAGAGATAATTGCCTCATCTTCATTACCTATTCATTTTAAACAATGAATTGATACATCTTATGAAATGCTATTATAAAAATTATCATCAAATTTGTTAGAAAAACGTATAGACTATATATACTATTAAGCTAAATAGAAATCATTATTAAAAAGTGTCCAATACGTCGAAAGTGAATCGAAGGCCGCATAGAAAAAAATTACTTGAAATTTAGGGTTCAGCTCGAATATGTTTGAATGAACAGAAGTTCTGAATTCAATTTGGAAAGCGCACGAAAATATTCTATTTCTCAACACAGATCTTAACAATCAAAAATATAAGTCATATTGCACGTATTATTTTCATATATGAAACAAATGTATTCCATGTTTCAACGCCATAAAGGCTATGTTAAAAAACATTAGTAGTAATCGATAACGAAGATTCTTTGTTTTTTATTGAATATTAAGAGAATAAACGAGCTAACAATCAATGGGGAGATTTTACTAATCTTGACAGCAAAAACATTCGTCGTGTATTTATTCGAAAGGTTCGTACTGATTAAAACTTATGAAAAAAAGCATTTATTTTAATATTTATGTGTATATAGGTCTTTGCAATTCTTATGGTTCAATTAGCGATTACATTTGGTATTATTGCATTATTTCATTTTACGTATGATTTTTATTTTTATTTTTGATTAAAAGGCATTGAAATAGATTATCTAATCTATAATATAGACCAGTAATTCGTGAATATGTACGAAGTCCACATGGTCGATGGCTTTATTTCACATCTTATGTTGTTTTTCTCGTTATTTATTTTGTATTGATTTGTTCAAAAAAAGCAGCAAGAAAATATCCACTTAATCTTATTTTACTGGGCATTTTGGTAAAAATAAAATTAATTAAAAAACTAAAATAAAATTTTATATTTCAGACATTATCAATGGGTTATATGGTATGATTCTATTAAAATATAAATTGTTAATGAAATTTTTTTCTTTGTATTTTGTTAAAAATTTAGATGGGTACAATTTCTGCATATTATAAAATTGAATCAGTTTTAATTGCTGTTGGTATAACAGCATTTGTTTGTTTGGGTGTTACATTATTTTC